GCTGGGTACTGGCTGGGTACTGGCTGGGTACTGGCTGGGTACTGACATCAACAGAAGCTGCCATTCTGTGTAGATGATGTGAGTGACGTTTAGCTTGTGATTTAGCTGAATGACAGTCGAAAACCAAATAACCAGTTTTAAACAGTCAAAAGCTGGTGGAACGGTTTACATGATAACCATGGCGTTGTAGGAATGCGTTTGAACGATGATGGCACAAAGAAATACAATTCCTATGTTCCATAGAGAGAAAGACATCATAGTTAACCAGAACCTACCCCCACACTTTTCAGGACTGGTATTCCTGAACATATTAACATGTAAATACACTTAGAAAGGTTGACAATGCACCAAAATGCATATAATCTACATGTTAACTAGCCCTTTTAAGGAGTCGCCACAGTTGAATGTAGTCGAGAAACACTTTCATGTCAGGATTTTAAAAACTTTAATGCAGGGCGCTCGCGGAATTCTCTAAGAAGCTTTTTCAATTTGATGAGGGAGAAGAAGGACCTCAATTCCTTTTGAAAGGAAGGACCTAGAGTTCAATAAGACTTCAGTCTCATTGCCTTTGCTCCAAGTTGAAGCTCTCTAAACGCTGGCTTTTTAAGACTTAAAGCTTAAGGAAGATGACAGATGGCGGCTTGTTGTGGTCTGACCAATTGCAAAATGCCTGTTGCTATGGTCCCCTTTTTCTCCTGTTTATTGACTTGGGATGAGCAGACTTGAAAATGCTCTGGTTGTTGACGAACGTGAGGTTGGATCTCCAATCTCTTTATTTGGTTGGTGTGACTGACTGGGTTCGAACACGGTCCTTCTGCATCATGCCACAGGACTGTTAGCCCTTTGAGCTAAATGCACAGCTCTAGGATCTAATACAAGTCTTCAGGTAACAGACAAGGTTACTCAACATGCGAGCGTGGCTGGCTAAATAAAACCACCCCCGTTACATTAGGATTGCTCTCTTGGTATCTGATTATCATAGAGGGCGGGAAAGAGAGCTTTAATCTGATATTCATAGAGGGCGGGAAAGAGAGCTTTAATCTGATTATCATAGAGGGCGGGAAAGAGAGATTTAATCTGATTATCATAGAGGGCGGGAAAGAGAGCTTTAATCTGATTATCATAGAGGGCGGGAAAGAGAGCTTTAATCTGATTATCATAGAGGGCGGGAAAGAGAGATTTAATCTGATTATCATAGAGGGCGGGAAAGAGAGCTTTAATCTGATATTCATAGAGGGCGGGAAAGAGAGCTTTAATCTGATTATCATAGAGGGCGGGAAAGAGAGCTTTAATCAGATTATCATAGAGGGCGGGAAAGAGAGCTTTAATCTGATTATCATAGAGGGCGGGAAAGAGAGCTTTAATCTGATTATCATAGAGGGCGGGAAAGAGAGATTTAATCTGATTATCATAGAGGGCGGGAAAGAGAGCTTTAATCTGATATTCATAGAGGGCGGGAAAGAGAGCTTTAATCTGATTATCATAGAGGGCGGGAAAGAGAGATTTAATCTGATTATCATAGAGGGCGGGAAAAAGAGCTTTAATCTGATTATCATAGAGGGCGGGAAAGAGAGCTTTAAACTGATTATCATAGAGGGTGGGAAAGAGCTTTAATCTGATTATCATAGAGGGCGGGAAAGAGAGCTTTTATCTGAATATCATGGAGGGCGGAAAGAGAGCTTTAATCTGATCATCATAGAGGGCGGGAAAGAGAGCTTTTATCTGAATATCATGGAGGGCGGAAAGAGAGCTTTAATCTGATCATCATAGAGGGCGGAAAAGAGAGCTTTAATCTGATTATCATAGAGGGCGGGAAAGAGAGCTTTAATCTGATTATCATAGAGGGCGGGAAAGAGAGCTTTAATCTGATTATCATAGAGGGCGGGAAAGAGATCTTTAATCTGATTATCATAGAGGGCGGGAAAGAGAGCTTTAATCTGATTATCATAGAGGGCGGGAAAGAGAGCTTTAATCTGATTATCATAGAGGGCGGGAAAGAGAGCTTTAATCTGATTATCATAGAGGGCTGGAAAGAGAGCTTTAATCTGATTATCATAGAGGGCGGGAAAGAGAGCTTTAATCTGATTATCATAGAGGGCGGGAAAGAGATCTTTAATCTGATTATCATAGAGGGCGGGAAAGAGATCTTTAATCTGATTATCATAGAGGGCGGGAAAGAAAGATTTAATCTCCTTTTCATCCCCACCTCGAATAAATTCAACCATATTTTTGGGACGGATGGTGACCATGGAGATCAGTGATTTCCCATCACCGAGCCTCTCCCCCCTACCTTCCCACTATCGATACCTCCCCCTTTTTTTTGTCCAAGTAAAACAAAGCGTGGTGCTGAATGGGCTCTGAGGTAGGTAAATGTATTCAGTGACATCAGCCAGGATGATTCTATTCTACCGGATTCCTGTACCATTTGTTTCCAGCCTTGTCTGAGGGCCGGACACTCTGTTGGGCCCATTGTCCCGTGTGTATTCCACACAGGCTCGCAATTAATGGGGGCCTTGTCTAAGGCTTCTGGAGCAGAAACTTCTGTTGGGGAGGGGGACAAAAGGCGGGCAGGCCATTGCCAGGAGTTGCTATGGGAGGCCCCTCTCTTTAAGAGGGTCTCAAAGGGAGGAGGTGGGGAGAACAAGCGGAGGCCTGGCTGAGATGTTTAAGTGATCCCTCTGTACCCATCTGGCTGGCCATGCTCTCTATGTCACACAGTCCAGTTAAAACTGACGATTCCCGGGATTTGGTGATTGAGATGGCCATTCCACTGCCCATTTGTCTTGGCTTGACAACAGTGGGGGGGAAATATGTGGGGCGATGCATCTCAAACCAGGTGAACGTGAAGATAGGTTAGTTTCAAAAAAACTGGCAAGTGGCCAAAGCAAACAACTCAGGGTGCTGTCTTTGTTTAAATGTAATGTTGTGGACACAACATGTCAATCATCATCAACAGTCATTGACGTGAACAAAGCACCATAATGGTTAGAGCATGCGTAAGTTAAAGTAGCAGTATATTTTCTTTAAATATACCCACAATGTTATCCTAATCTGTACCAGTCTAACTCAACCGCCCTTCTGTTGTGGGTTGTTATCAGACACTGTTGGCCCTCGATAGCTTTCTAACCCCCTCCCATGGCAGCCTGGGCCTCAGTTCCTCTCCCTCGTCTGTGTTTCCCACCCTGATACTGATCTGGAGTGTGCCATAAAGCACAGGTATAGATGACAGTGAACAATAAAGGCATGTCTCCAGCCAGACCAGCAGGCTTACTGAGCATGGAGCTGATAAGGGGAAACACGTTGCTGCCTCCCCTCCTATCATGCACCCTCCCTCCCCTCCTATCCTGCACCCTCCCTCCCCTCCTATCCTGCACCCTCCCTCTCCCTGTTGTCTTGTCCCAGAACCCATAGCTCTTGTTTGTGTAAGAAAGAAGAATTGTGTACATTGAAAAATAGCATCACCTCTGGACACATAAATCTTCTTTGCACACCATGTAGTCTTTAGAAGATACTCACAGAGAAAGGCCCCTGTGAGAATCCTCTTATCAGCGTTGAATCATGTTTTGGGACTGGTAATTTTACACACTGGGTGTAAAATAGTGGCCATGAACAGAAAAAACATGATTACGTGGCGGATGCCCCTGGCTTTTGGCTCCTTTAGTGTCCAACAATAAATGTATGATGTTAAAGTGTTTTTGAGGTCAGTATTGGTGCTTTGTTTATATTCACATTATTAGCAAAATATTTGAAGATACATATGACTAGTTTCTTTGAAAAATAGAGAAGGCCCGCCGGACCTGTATTGTTGTTTCCCTCGTCTGTGATGTGGGCCCTGACCTGGCTTTTGGGGTCATTTGACCTGGAGGTTTTAGGAGCTTTAGAAATGAGACGTTAGGGCACCTGAAGTCTGTCAAGAAGGTAGTAATAAGAGCAACCTGATAACCCTGTACTCTAGGGTGATAGTTAATTTCTTCTGCATGTTAAAACCGAGACGTGAAGGTCATTGAGTACAACTTGGAATCTATCAGTCACATACATGTGATGGTAGTTTACAGAGAGATTGTCTATAAAGGCACGATGACCTGAAAAGGGCTTTCTTTCGAAAATAACACTGAGTATGTTCATCAAGTACATTGACTACTCACTCTTCAATTAGAGAAAATGTAAATGCATTACTGTGAATTTATTTTATTATGAACCAAGGGTAGAAATCAGGGTTGGAGTCAATCCAGTTTTCAATTCAGTCATGAAGTGAATTTACATTTAATTCGTTCATTGAAAGATCGATCCCTGACCTCAGTAAATCATATAATAAATATGTAGGGGAGTGTACATGTGTGTGCGCGGGAGAAAGTCTGCGTTTACACAGGCAGCCCAATTCTGATCTAATTGGGAAAAAGATCTGATCTGTATGGTCAAAAGACCAATTAGTGGCAAAAATGTCAGAATTGGGCTGCCTGTGTAAACACAGCCGAAGTGTGTGTGTGTGTGTGTGTCAAGTAAAAAAGATAAGGTGCATGATTCCTCTGAGGGGAGGGTTGTCGATAGTGTACAACAATAATGTATTGTTATTTTGAGTTGTTGTTCTAGGATCAATTAACCTGGGCTTAAACTGGGGAAAGGGACAATACGTGTATTTTATTCACCTTAATTGACTGTTACTAATAACTATAACAACTGTATAATTTCATCAGTACGTTTAATCAAACTTAACCTGTTGAAGTTTTTGATCACATAGCAGCCTATCTGTATAGCGTGCTGTGGACCACGGTCTCACGCACAAGACACCAGATAGCCAATGGAAGGGCTCCTTGCACGAGCCAACCACCTCCCTGGCAACGTGTCCCGGCGCGCTCATTGGTAGAAAGTTGGAGTGGGAATTAAACTTTGGGACGATTCACACGAGCCATTCGCGTGCAGCTTCCTCTATATATAGGACCGGAGGTGAAAGTGACAGTGCTGACTTGCTATCAACACCGCACTGGCAGGACTTTACCTCCAGGACGTTACCTCAGCAACAGCAACATTGTAATAAACACCTGTAACGAACAGCGTTGGTCAGAAAAAAAGTGCATAACCTGTGTTTGAATATTCCTCAATAGGCTGGACTTTATTGAACAATTTTGGGACAAATGATTTGCTGAAGTTGACTGGACTATTGTGGGATATTAAAACTTGAAGATGCCGGCTGATATTTTGGAGAAAGCCTCCCCATCCTCTGTTGCAGCCACCCTGTCGAGCGTAAATGGAAATCCGGATAAACCAAGGACTGCCTCAGAGCACAGAAAGGTAAGCCTACAGAAAAGCACGAAAGAAAACGATTCTTTTTTTTATATGTCAATTGTTGTTAATAAGTTACATGTCTAATATTCGATAAGTTACATGTCTAATAATCATGTGGTTTGTTTTTTATTTGAAGTCATCTAAGCCAATTATGGAGAAGAGGAGACGTGCGCGAATCAACGAAAGCCTTGGACAGCTCAAGACCCTCATACTGGACGCTCTAAAGAAAGATGTACGTAAAAAAAAAAAGCTTTTATAATCATAGACATTTATGTCTACGACATATGCTTCTATAATGATGATAATTTGATGGATTGGAACGAAGCTCAAATAGATTATGAATCATGTGTAACTTTCTTCTTGATGTCTATTTAGAGCTCCAGGCATTCGAAGCTGGAGAAGGCGGACATCCTTGAGATGACTGTGAAGCACCTAAGGAACCTGCAGCGTCTTCAAATGACTGGTAGGTTTTTTTGGATCGTTTATTGATTACGGTCATTCTAGACATGCATGTTTAAATTGCATCTGTGACTGTGCCCATTTGGCGGGCACAGCAGTTCCCACGGTACTATTGACATACGTCCATCAAAGCTATTCATAGACCTACTGAGTATTATATAATTACATTTCAAGGATTTTCTGAACAATATATCCTCAAATAAATCATATTATTTCACTTTACAGGTGCTATAAGCACGGATCCATCAGTCCTTGGCAAGTACAGAGCGGGATTCAGCGAGTGCATGAGTGAAGTCACCCGTTTTCTGTCCACATGTGAAGAGGTGAACATGGAGGTCAGTGCCCAACTTCTCAGCCACTTAGCCGGCTGTGTGTCACAGATCAACACCGTAAACTACTCAACTCATCGCCAGATCCCCACCTACCCTCCGCATCCAGCGCATCCAACGCTTGGCCAAGCCATTGTGCAAATCCCAAGTGCGTCGCCTCAGTTGAATGTAATCATGCCTTGCAAAAGTGGCTCGCCAATGAACTTCACATCAGAAGTGGCTAAATTATATAGTGGACTTCAGATTGTGTCAGCGACAGATGGACAATTCGCCTTTCTGATTCCAAGCACGGCCCTTGCGCATATGAGCGTGCCAAACGCGCTACATGGCAATCCAGCAGTTGCGGTGGCGGTGTCACCTGTTGTATCTCCCAGCACTGCAGACTCCGTGTGGAGACCATGGTAGGGTCACCGTGCGCATTAGACTGAAGGACTTTTATGCACAATGACGCATTTTTTAACGGGAAACATTCCATCTGATATTAGTTTTTGTATATTTTTGTATAGGCTATTCAAAGCAATACTCAAGAGTGATGCTTACGCACATGTTGTTTGATAGAGAATACACTTTTCCATTAGATATTTTCTATTCGTATGTCAGTGATGTCATGATCATGTGTTATTGTTGTGATACAAAAATGATTCAAATGCCCTCAAATGCCTTCCTTCAGGAAATCAATAAATTCTTGAAATGAAATTGCAATGTTTAACATCTGGAAATTGTGATTTCTTAACTACATTTAAAATAATTGTCTATCCTTGCCCTAATGATACCCACATGAACAACTACTACAGTTTACTATATAATACTACAGTACTTACATAATTCTGTAGTAAACTGTAGTATACTATACTACACAGTAATATATCTTGATCATGTGTAGTACTTACTATAGAATATATATAGTATACAGTATACTGTAGAATACTAAAGTAAATACTACAATATACTACAGACTGCAAAAACACTACAGTAAATACTACAGTAATATTTGCAAAAACACTACAAAAACACTACAGTCTGTAAAAACACTGCAGTAATTACTATAATATATACTACAGTATTGCATTTGCATATACCCTGCCCATTCCCCTCCCCCATATCACAATTTGTTCAACTCATAAGTGAGAAACCTACATGACAAGTACAGATTATATATTGTGTTCCCTACAGGTTATAGAAAAGAGCAGAAGCTCTGAACTATCTATTTAGATATCAGTCCTACCTACCTACCTACCTACCTACCTACCTACCTACTTACTTACTTACTTACAGGTTATGGAAAATTTGCTCTTTGAGTAATTTGTTCAGGACAAAGCCCCTATGTCAAAGATAATAAAACAAAAACACTATAGTAAATACAACAGTAATGTCCACAAAAAAACAACAGCAAATACTACAGTACACTACTTTAGTTTGCAAAAACACTATAGTGAATACCACAGTAAAGTACACAAAAACAACACAGTGAATACTATAGTATTTAACCATAGTATACTAGTATTTTGTCATGTGGGTGTGCTGTGATTGAATACCCTATTAAGGCTCATCTAACCACAGAATTAAATAAAACACAGAATTATAGGATCTCTGGCTCTGCATCAAACACAGAAGAGCTCTTACTGCTGAGCATACTCAAATACTTCCATAGGTTGACATCTTCCTTGTCATCCAACAACATTGATCGGTGAAGGGGCATGCAAGAATTCTATGATTTAAGATTCAAGCCTGTACGGTAGACCTACACCAACCCATGAACATGTTATCGTCCCATCTCATCCCTGTTAGCCTCATTTGTCTGGGAATAAATAACACCTGGATGAGGTAAGGAACCTGAGAGGTCGTGAGAACGACTCTCAGCCCAGCAGGCAAACGGCCAGGATAGTGGATGTGGGGAGCCAGTTGGACATGCGCATGGCTGCCTGCCAGAGAGGAAATCTTGACACACAGGACAGGAGCTGAACCTGGGGAGAGAGGATTCTGGAGGGAGGAAGGGTGGAGAGAGAGGGTGGAGAGAGAGGGTTCTGGAGGGAGGGGAGGGAGGGTTCTGGAGGGAGGGATGGTTCTGGAGGGAGGGTGGGGAGAGAGGGTGGGAGGGTGGGGAGAGAGGGTGGAGAGAGAGGGTTCTGGAGGGAGGGGAGGGAGGGTTCTGGAGGGAGGGAGGGTTCTGGAGGGAGGGAGGGGGAGGGTGGGGGGAGGGTTGGGAGGGTGGGGAGAGAGGTGGAGATGGAGGTTCTGGAGGTGATTTTTGCTGATTGAGGGTCGATGTGTGAGGTTTACTGGAGGAGGTGTGGAGAAGAGGGTGAGAAGGGTTCTGGAGGGAGGGGAGGGTATCCGAGGTTCTGGAGGGAGGAAGGGTGGGAGAGAGTGTGGATGTGATGTTAAATCTCCATGCTATATCAGTGGAAGTCGAAGGTTCATCACTAATTGCTCGTTAACAGTGGAATTCGAATGATTCAGGCTTGAGCTGTGATGGCTATTATCATTGAGCATTGAGGTGCTCAACCTATGTATTTCCAGCAGCTCTTAATACCCAATGCTCTATCCTTTTCTTGACATCTGGAATTATCATACAAGAAATTGCCAGCCTGAAAAAATCTTGGAGCATTCCATCTGTACCTACGTTCACTTGAAACAATTCCAAGATAAATCATTCCATGGCTTAGAACACGTGCAGAAGCTAATATTCATCATTTGAGTCAATTGGAGGTGTACCTGTGGATGTATTTCAAAGCCTACCTTCAAACTCAGTGCCTCTTTGCTTGACATCATGGGAAAATCAAAAGAAATCAGCCAAGACCTCAGAAAAAATCATTGGGAGCAATTTCCAAATGCCTGAAGGTACCACGTTCATCTGTACAAACAATAGTACGCAAGTATAACCACCATGGGACCACGCAGCCATCATACCACTCAGGAAGGAGACGCGTTCTGTCTCCTAGAGATGAACGTACTTTGGTGCGAAAAGTGCAAATCAATCCCAGAACAACAGCAAAGGACCCTGTGAAGATACTGGAGGAAACAGGTACAAAATTATCTATATCCACAGTAAAACGAGTCCTATATCGACATAACCTGAAAGGCCGCTCCGCAAGGAAGAAGCCACTGCTCCAAAACCGCCATAAAAAAAACTTTGCAACTGCACATGGGGACAAAGATCGTACTTATTGGAGAAATGTCCTCTGGTCTGATGAAACAAAAATAGAACTGTTTGGCCATAATGACCATCGTTATGTTTGGAGGAAAAAGGGGGTTTCTTGCAAGTCGAAGAACACCATCCCAACCGTGAAGCACAGGGGTGGCAGCATCATGCTGTGGGGGTGCTTTGCTGCAGAAGGGACTGGTGCACTTCACAAAATAGATGGCATCATGAGGAAGGAAAATTATGTGGATATATTGAAGCAACATCTCAAGACATCAGTGCGGTCGTGACATCACCTGACTGATCCAAGATGGCGTAGCAGTGCGGTCGTGTTCTTTGTTGTGTGTCCGTGTAAATAGCCAGTTTTTTAAATTTATTTTTATTTTTCGTACTTATTTCCCTATCACACTTTTCATCCTTCTACAAAATATACTTTCCTGCAACCCGCCTCACTCAATGTGGAACGGATTCTATTATTGACTTACCTTTTATCTAGAATCTCCAGTTGAAACTAGCTAGCCAGCTAACTAGCTACTTGCTATTAGCCACCGTTAGCGGTTTTCACCCAGAACATCGTATTTTCTGCCGGAATAACTGAATCACTGGACATTAACACCGGATCGCAACTAGCTAGCCGCAACCGGATGGATGTTGCTGTTGGCTAATCACCACTGCCCCCGAAGCTAGCACCAGTTAGCCTCGAGCCAGGCCCACATCCCGGCTATCTACCTCTCTGTCTAACGGACGGGAGTAGCCAGCTAACTAGCTACTTGCTATTAGCCACCGTTATCGGTTTTTCACCATTGTCCGACTATTATCGGCCAGTCTGCACTGCCTGCACAGCGCGCTATTGACCCAGAACATATCAGTTTTTCTGCCAGAATCACTGAATCACTGGACCTTTAATACTGGATCATCGCAACTAGCTAGCTGCAACTAAATGGATTGTTGGCTAATCAGCCCTGAGCCAGGCCCATCTCCCGGCTATCTACCTCTCTGTCAACCGGACGGGACCTCCTAGTGTTGACACGGAGCCCCGCCGATCCAACACGACTGGTCTGCCGGCGAAATCGTCTGATGTGGTTTCAACAGGCTTCCCGTTATGACGTCGACCACAAAGATCCATCTGCTAGCCCCGGCCCGCTAGCACACTCAAGCCATGGCCTCTTGCTCGCCAGTGCTGTAGAAGCCCCAAACTACCGCCGAACTCCTATTGCTGTTCACCGGACCTTATGAAAACCTAGCTATACAGCTGATGCCTGCTGGACAATATGCCTTGCTTATTGCTGTTTCGGTTATTTCTTATTGTACTATTTCACTGTAGATCCCCCAGCCCAGCTCAACCTGCCTTAGATAGCTCCTTTGTCCCACCCCCCATACACGCGGAGACCGACTCAATCGGTGCCTCCAGCGATGCTATCTCTTTCATCGTTACCCAACGCTTAGGTTTACCTCCACTGTACTCATATCCTTCCATATCCTTGTCTGTACATAATGCCCTGAATCTATTCTACAACGCCCGGAAATCTGCCTCTTTTTTTCTCTGTAACCAACGCACTAGAAGACCAGTACTTAAAGCCTTTAGCCGTATCCTTATTCTACTCCTCCTCTGTTCCTCTGGTGATGTAGAGGTTAACCCAGGCCCTGTAGCCCCCAGTATCACTCCTACTCCCCAGGCGTTATCATTTGTTGACTTCTGTAACCGTAAAAGCCTTGGTTTCTTGCACGTTAACATCCGAAGCCTCCTCCCTAAGTTTGAGTTATTCACTGCGTTAGCACACTCCGCCAACCCTGATTTTCTAAAAGTGTCTGAATCCTGGCTTATGAAGGCCACCAAAAATTCAGACATTTCCATCCCCAACTACAACATTTTCCGTCTCGATAGAACTGCCAAAGGGGGTGGGGTTGCAATCTACTGAAGAGATAGCCTGCAGAGCTCTATCGTACTATCCAGGTCTGTGCCCAAACAGTTTGAGCTTCTATTTCTAAAAATCCACCTTTCCAGAAATAAGTCTCTCACTGTTGCCGCTTGCTACAGACCCCCCTCAGCCCCAAGCTGTGCCCTGGACACCATATGTGAACTGATTGCCCCCCCATCTATCCTCAGAGTTCGTACTGCTTGGTGACCTAAACTGGGATATGCTTAACACCCCGGCCAACCTACAATCTAAACTAGATGCACTCAATCTCACACAAATTATCAACGAACCTACCAGGTATAATAATATAATATGCCATTTCGCAGACGCTTTTATCCAAAGCA